TCGCGAGCTAACACCGTCGATACGAGCTATACAATGGATTTATAATCTTTTCGACAAATCCATACAAAGGAGTTTAAAAGTAACAAATTAAATTAAAAAGTAGTTATTGGATTTTAAATCCATAGTTTTTTGACCCGAATCGGCCCGGCGGGTCGACCCGGAGCCGGAACCAGTCCGGGCGGGCTATTTGGACCGGTCAAACATGATCAAAACCAGGTCAAAACCCGCCCTTGACCCGGCCGACCCGGGACAATGACCCGGCCCATATATATTTTTTATTTTTATTTTTTTTTTGTTCTTTAAAAATAAACTATGTATATATGGTTATATTTATCATGAGATACATATTATTAACACTTTAGTTTACAAATTTTATACCCAAAACATTTAATTTTGTTACTTTTATGTATATTTATATGACAAAAATACTCTATATATAATTTTAAAAATTTTAAAATTAATTATCCGTTTCAACCATTGAACTGGTGACCCAACGGTTGAACTGGTGACCCAGAGACTTGCCCGAGTCGATTACCGGGCCGAGTTTAAAAACTATGTTTAAATCACTCAATCGAAACGTAGCCTAAGAATATTTATATTTCAAAGAAAATGAAATTTTGTGTGATACAAAAGACATTGGCATTGAAATTTGGGGGAATGAAATAGTTGCGCTTATACTAAATACAATTTATGTTCACGTAAATATACCCAATATAAAAAAAATAGAACTTTCACGAGAGTCACACTACCTCATAACTCTTTTATTAAGTGTTTGACCAACAAATACAAATAGGATTTACCCACGGAGACTCCCTCTCATTACCTACTTTGCACTCCACATATGTAACCACTCTTCTGGCCACGACGTGGACTTAAGTTGAACGTATGGATCTCTCTAAGAAGTATGAAAATGCTCGTTCCCAAGCACCAATCCCAAACACCAAGTAGAAAAACAAACGGTTCGAATTACCAGCGATGTACCAACATAATCACTCTATAAAATCTATCCCTCAATGATAAAGACTAAATTCTTTATTTATAATGTAATATCTAGCTCTATGACCAAAACTCGTGAAACTACAATATATACAAAATTAATAAATGGTATATAGGTTTATAAGCAATCGGGAGGTTTCCAAATCTTCTCGATCTCCTCCTCCAGTTTTGAAAACTGAATCCTCATGCCTTATAAGTTACCATGCACAAATATCTTGCTCAAATCCTTCATATTTAATCATGTCTCATTGTCTTCATTAGTGTGTAGCCCGTGGTAAATAATATTAACTAATAACTATAATTAAAGACGTGGGTAAACGATATTAAAATAATAATTATAAATTAAAGATGTGGGGTTAACATGTCATATAATTTACATATATCAGTTTGTCGTAAACAATTTAATGTATAAAACAACATGAAACATGTATTTTTAAAATATTAAAAACACCTAAAATATTTTATATCGTATGTAAAAGTATCTAAAATATTTTGAAAAATGTGTGCTGTAAGAAATTTAACGGGTATATCCATAACTATTAAGCGGAATTGAATAAACCCTAAGCATGTAATTCTATCAATTCATAGAACATGGATCTTTGCATAAATTAAATTGCATATAAAACTTACAAGAATCCAGCTTATAGTCCTTCCCTGTTCATCTGTGATGTTGATCTTTCTCCAATCTCCAATCCTCTTCCTTCAATCTCCAATGATGGATTTGTCTTTCCTTATGAATTGTTTCTCTCTCCCTCGTCTCTCGTCTTTCCATAAAGCCCTTGATGTTGAGAACTTTATTTCGTATGAGATGGGAGAGAGGGGCATGTAGTAATATATATAGGAGGAGACCTACAATCCTATTCCTACTAACATTCCCCATGTTCTAACCTAACTTACTGTCCAAGTCAAACATCACACATTGGACTCTTTAATATTAGAACATTAAATAATCTATTAAATAGATATTCATCTTTAATAAAGTTTGACTATTAATTCAATTAGGTCTAACTAATTATATGGTCCACAATAATTGAATAATATATAAAATATTATTACATGTGTGACCTCAAATGTTTCTATACTATTTTGTAAGGAAGTATCAGCATATATAAATAACTCAGCTAACTCCTTTCACAATTAGCTCAATATCATGTCAATACCTTCCAGTCAGCCTTCTTCCAAACTGCACATGTCTCATCATCTTTCTTCAGGTTTTAGAATTTCTCCATTTATGATAAATCCAAGCTTCATTTTCGCACCCAATGCAATAATCATGGATCGTTTTTTAGGACAGAAAATTGCTAACAGTTAAAACATTAGATACAAGCATCATATACCAGGATGATCATGAAGCGCAAGCGGGCTCTCGATCTTCTAACCCTGAGTCCGTGTTTAGCATCGGCATGGATTTTCTCTTATGTGTTCCATTTCCAGCTACTTGAATCGAAGTTGCTTTTTGTTGAATGCGAAAGAGAGTATTGCAAATCTAACCTGCTCTAGATACTATATACTATGTTGAATTTCATATGAAACAAACGAGAGAATTTGGGAGCTCAAATCTCCATTTTCTGTTCTGTAAAAATATCTCAACTTACAGTTTTGAGATAAGAGTGATGATCTTAAGAAATACTCGTCCGCGCATGCACTAATCATACGTGCCAAACAAAACGGTACCTTGTCACATTTAGTTAAAATGTAAAAGAGAGAAACTAAAAGAAACGGAAAAAAAATGCGATTTAATAACAGAAATAAAAAAATTAAATGTTGACTGTGACAACATTTCTAACATGTTAACACTATGCATGAACTATTACTTATAAAATATAAAATATGTAATAATATGTAACATACCAAAAGAAAAGGCAAAAACAGCGGTTCGAAGTTCCATATTGAACGGTTGGCCCAATTATGGTTTCGAAACAGTGGACTCTCTCCTAGTTTCTGTTCCATTTGGCCACCTCCATGACTGCAAAACTAGATTCTAAGTTCCGATCCACCTTCCTTAAACCCCAAGATTTAATCCTAACCCTCCTCTTCAACTGGAAATATAAAATCTTACTCCTGAGATAGGTTCTGGGAGTTGGGGGAAGAAATCTTAAGAGTGAGATGAAAGATGGTACTACTGCTATATTTCAAACTCAAATTTCCAATCTATAAAGTTGATGAATTTAATAAGGGTGTGGAGAAGCAAAAAGATAAAAGTGGAAAAAAAATGTAAAATATAATCTATGTATAAGTTTGACATTAATATTGCAAGGTTTTTCAGCAAAAAAATAATTGGATACTAAATAAGGAAAGCTTTTATTTTTGGTATTTTTTTCTTTACCATCATGGTGAGGCTTTTATTTTCCTTCTACTAATATGATTATTGATCTAAATCTGATTAAATTTTCCAAAAAAATAAAGACATTTTTGTTATTACTTAACCTATTTTTATTTTTAGTGTTGTGATATCAATATATATCTATATATATATATAGATATATATATAACATTTATAATGTTATCGCAAAATTACTCAAATTGAATTACAAAAGCTAGTTTAAAAATATACAATAATAATAATTATAACTAATACATAAAATACACACACACACACACACACACACACATATATATATATATATATATATATATGGATAATATCTCTGCTCGGTTTTGACTTAGTATTGAGTCTTCGTGTCAATTACATAATCAATTAATTAATTTTAAATTTACAAAATTATTATATTTATTTTTATAAATTTGAATAAAGTAAGGAACGATTAATTTGTCTTTAATACTATATTTTGGATTCATAGTCATTTGTTATAACAGTTTACCGTATGAATCACAAATTATTTTTTATTTTACAAAATTAATTATATTTAATAAAAAAGATATTTATTTGGATCTATTGGGCTGATGGAATTAGGTTATTGCACATGTTTATTGGACCAATTTCAGATCATTTGTGATCGTCCAAAAATATGACACAACTTCTGTTGCCTCCCGGGTGACCTAGTTATGAGTCAATGTGACTGGATCAAATTGATTATTGGAACTAAATATGGATTTCAATATTAAGAATGCTTTGTTGCAATAAATATAATACAATTGAATTAATTAAGTAAGAATGTTGTCATGAGGAAATGGTGATCAGTCATAGTTTAATTATAGTATCCTACGAGTCATGTCTGCCTATTAGTACATACTGTATATTTTAATTGTCCTTTGTCTATATATCTGTAGGTAGGAGCACACCAAAGCTTTGTTATCAGTAACTTTGTTATTTATCGGTAGGTACGAGCATGCCGAAACTTTGTTATTTTATCACCATTCCTTTCAGGCTTTCGATACACAGCTCTAAGAGGCACCTTTGTCATGCTATTCTTTTGTTTAATAGAAACATTGACTTACTATAGTTTGCTCATGTGAGATACTTTTTGCTATGTAGTACAAGCGCACAAGTAGCCACATGAATTGTAGCTCATGTTACACTTTGGGTTACCTGACCTGTCTTATGTGAATTTGATGACATGATACTTTTCGTGCACAGCTCATTCGGATACAACTGTTGCAAGGATGCTTGTGGGGAACAAATGCGATTTGGAAAATATCAGGGATGTGAGTGTAGATGAAGGCAAAGCCCTGGCAGAATCTGAAGGATTATTTTTCATGGAAACTTCTGCATTGGATTCAACAAATGTTAAAAACGCTTTTGAAATTGTCATCCGTGAGATTTATAATAATGTTAGCAGGAAGGTACTCAATTCCGATTCCTACAAAGCTGAATTATCTGTGAACAGAGTATCCCTCGTCAGTAATGGCACTGACGAATCAAAGCAAACTGTGGGAGCTAAAAGTTGTTGCTCCAGGTGACTGAAACACCTGCTCGATCGAAAATGGATTTTGTGCTTTTTGGTGGTTTTTATTTATCCAGTGCCTAGTCATCAATTTGTTTCTTGCTTAAAGCATAGACTGTAATGTGCCTATATGTTTTTTTTTTTTGTTTTGGATATTTATGGTCAATATAGTGTTTGCTGCCATGCTGAAAAAGTTGCAAACTAGAATTTGTATTCTGAAAGTGTAAATTTATGCTCTTTCTTTTTCTTTTCTTTTTTTTTCCCCATTTTTTAAGATGTTAAATATCGTTTGCTTTCATTAAGTTCAGCTATTACACTCGTTTGAGGTATTCACTGCACCTATGGAGTTGTTCGCTTATCTTTCATGTGTTTCAGTCTCTTAATGACTGCCTATTTAAAACTCATTGAGTTATCCCTTCTCCTTTTCCTTTACTTTCTTCACCGGCTTCTTCTTCTTCTCCTCCTCCTTCTCTTTCAGTAGCACCTTCCTCCAGGTTGATGAAGATTGGCTAGAACATATTTTAATTTTTAGCGAATTATTGGCCAATTGACGCTTAATCACTTTTCGACCTTTAGATACCTATGACCAACCCTCATGCATGATGTTATACCTTTTTCTGTGACAAGATCGAAGTTGGTCTTAGGTTTCCCATTCACCTTGAGTTTCTTTCCATGTGTAACATATACGGCCTCCCTATCAACTAGCTTTGCCTAACTCTGTTAGAATATTAGAAGCTTTTGTCTTTCTTTCTTACTATTGGTTAAGCAATGTCGACCTCCAATGTTTTGGATATTGTTTGGGGCTAAATTTTATAAGGAAACTATGTACATACCAACTCACAACTGAGCTAATTTCATAAAGGACTACTCTATGAATATATAAGCCTAGAAACTAGGTTTTTCTACATTCGACCATCGAACCTTTTTCTTTCTCTTTTGAGTGGCTAATTGAACTGCCTTTCTGGCTTGACTTCCCACAACGTGATGTGACCTTCGACCTGATGATCGCTTCTTGTAATGCACATTCGATAAACTCTATCTTGATAATCGAGAACGAGAAACTCTTATCCCGTTTGGGTTTTGCTAAGGGGACATTTCCCCCTGTCATTGATTTTGGTAGGAACAAACTTGAACTTATTGCTTAGTTGTATTTCTTTCTTCTTCTTCTTATGACCTGAATTATTTGATTGTCTTGTGCATAAAACCTCGTTTTTCCTATGAAGTCGACCTCTTCTTCCTCCAACATTAAAGGGAAGACGCCCTCAACCTCCGGTGGAGGTCGTCTCGTGGGACCTCTTAGTGAGCTCGGCCCAATGAAACAAACAGACAAACCCAAGGCGCCTGCACCTCCTCCCCTGATGATCACTAGCCGAAAAAGGTCAAACGCGACTACTGCCGATGGGAGCTCAAAGCAAGCTCGCATTGAGCAGGTGGAGGTCGATGTGCCCCAGTCTCTTGCCAAATTCCAGACGGATGAGCGAGATCCTCCTAACTCATGAAGGTCCGCCCTCTGAGGAAACCACATGCTGGGAATCTAACGACAGAGGTCAAGCTGAGTATGCAGCTAAAATTATTGCCAGGTACATTTTCCTCCTTAGTCTTTAATAATATTTTTTTTCATAAATACCTTCTTGAATCTCTATTTGTTTCGCCGATCATATCCATGTTGGTTCTCATGATCAATAAAGAGTTGTTCGGCTCTTCTCCCTCCTATGAGGAACTCAACGGCTAGCTGAAGGAGATGAAAAATGAAATCGACCAGCTGATGAAGAACAACTTGGAGCTGAAGAAACAACTCACCAAAGTCTCTTGGGAGCATGACATTACTCTCAAGGAGAAAGATAAACAACATGAGACTCAAGTGAAGGTTGCAGGTTATGAAGTAGGGTGTTGGGTCACTAGTACTTTCTCACCACTATGGTGAGAGGTGGCTTTGTGGAGGCTTATCGGAGCAGGTCGTGGAGGACTTATGCAATTCTTTGAGCTTTCTCCAGAAGCTTGCTCCAACTGCTTTCCAATATTTCCACTTTGTCCTGGATCATGCTGAGGAGCAGCGCAAAGCTTTAGGCTATTTGGTGACCATCGACCGCGAGGTTATCGAACAAAAACTCCCTGACTACCCCGCATGTTACAATGGTGAGCTCGACATTCCCTTCGGTCACGGGAAGGCACCACTGAGAAGGTTCTCCTCCGACATAGCTTGGAGAATAAGCTCTTACTTCCGACTTGCCCACTCAACGTCGAGCCTCCTCTACTTATACTTTGAAAATATTTGAGTTTTAGAAATAGCTTCAAACTTTTTAAAACTGGTCTTAGGGTACTTACTAAAAGTTGTTAATTTCTTATCTGTCTGATCTTAACCTAAGCCTTGTGCTTAAGTTCTTATGAAATCTGATCCTCAAAACTTATTTCTGTTCAGTTCACTTTAGACAAAGCAGAGCATACGATACTAGTCTTAAATTGAAATGAAATACATAATCTGTAACATCCAAACAAGTTTAAACATCTGAGTAATAACATGTTCGAAAATATATTTTAGCAGAAGCATAAATTGCATTTCATAATAATGACCACTGCTGCCCCTCGATTGCGACACCGGCTGCTTAACCTGAAAATGATAGTTGTGGGGGATGAGAAAAATCAACGTGCTCTCCATGGTAATCTATACTATGCAATTATTCGTAATAAGAAAAGGTACTAATAATTTCAGTACTAAATGTTAAACTGGTCTGAACTACTGTTGATTCGTCGCTGCTTGCCCGCTAAGGATGTCGATCTCATGTGCACACTTTTACCGTTGGATATGTGGACTTGTTCCACTAGCAAACATGAGCTCTGATGCCCACTCTTTGGGAAAAAATCATAAACATACATCAATTATAAAGTACCTTGTGATTATTAACAATTAGAGCAAAGCATAAAATTCCCTACTTATACGGCTTACTGACTAACTGAATTGCTAAATGAATGAATATGCGTCTGGATGAGGGCTCGACTCCACTTTAATCTACAATTTAAATCATTATTATCTTATAATTTAAGGTGACGACAAATAATCAAACAAGACATGTAAGGACAATTTAAATCACATAAGACAGACACGAACATTTAAAATCACATAAGGCAGATAAACCACACAGAGCAATTAAACAGATAAATTTTACTTACTTCTCCGCTTGACTGGACGGATCTAAAGTTCTCGAAAAACATAACTTAGGCTCAGAACTAAACTGAATTTCTGGAGTGGCGCGAACCGGTCGGTCCATGCCCAATAAGACCTGGTTCGCTTACTGAACCGCGTGGAGGTTGACCTGACCACGGCTCAAATCAAGGGCTCGGACGCTCACGCAGGCTGCATCTCGGCTAGTTGTTGGGCGCGCTTGTGCGCCACTAGAACTGGTACAGGCGCGGTCGGCTATGGCAGGTGGCGTGCTGAAGGTGTTGTCAGGCTGCAGGATGCGCGCCGGTCGCTGGCATACGGGCATTCATGGACCACGACTGCTGGGGGATTGCGGGATGCACGGGCTCGCAGCAGGTTGGGCAGGGGCACTGGCATCGGACGAGCACACGGGCGCTAAGTGAATGCGGCATGACGCAGGGGCGCGCTGGTGTCAGTCATGGAAAGTTGTAGGCACATGGGTGTTGTGCGGGTCGTCTGCAAGGTTGCACGAGGTAAGGCTGTCTGCGGGCTTCTGCTGCTGAGACAGAGGCCCTACTACAACTTGGGTTTCTCCGGGTAAACTCGCTGGACTCTGACCACTAATTCTGGCTAACAACTGGGCTAACTAAAGCTTAGTGAAAGGACATCCTAACTAAGGGTAAAGAAGTTTCAAAAGACCATCTAACATAAGGCTTAGGTTCTCTCTTCTCACCTCACTTTTCTTAAAACCTAACAACTTAAGGCCAACAAAAAAGAAACAAACACACCCAAAACAACACATATAGGCAGCTCGTATATATCACATAATTCAACAAAATCACAACATCAAAGCACAAGATCAAACCAAACACAAGGCAGAAAAGGCATAACATTAAAAGTGTTAACTCCCTTCTAGACCTTAAACATGATTCTAACTAAACTTGGCAGCATTTAAACCTCTCCAAACTAATCTTATATCATAATAACTCATCAGGAGGCTTTACATATTTATCAAAACATAGACATAAATCACCTCAAAGCATGCATCACTTCAAAAATTTCTCCAGCATTCAATATAACTCATATGAGGCTGAAACTTCTCATAGACTGTTTGTCCCATTTTTTGTTGCATTTTTTGTTATTATTTTCTCATTCTTTTTTCTCCATTTTGAGTCATTTAGTTGGTTTTAGGTTAATTTTATCGTTTATTGTGTGTTTTGTGTTGTCTTGAGTGCCCCGATAATTTTTATGTTATTTTCGGTAGTCTTCCGTTTGTGTTTTCGTTTTTGGTGTGTACGTCGGGAGCTTCGGGAGAACAGGTTTATGGGAATTTTTTGGGGACGTTTACATCATTAGATAGAGGGGTCTGTTATCTACGTGTAGGAAAAAACGGAATTGAATTTCGAGTCTGAACGAGCGTAAACGTGCCCAAGACGCAAAGAAGGGCGAGCTGCCAGGCACCGCGCGCGCGCCGCGGCGCGACGCATGCCGCGACCCGGACAGAGACACCAAGGATTTCGTGTGCCAAGCTGTGACACCCAGCACAGCGTGTCAGATCAGTCCCTCACAGCACGATACGTTACCACGGCGCGATGCAGTCTCCATTCGCGCCGCGAGACACCTTCATGGCGCGACACCACACGGTCTCGACCCGTGCATCAAGTTTCTCACGCCCGTGACCCTTTTTTATATAAATACACATACGAACTTTGGAAAAGGTCACTTCTCTCAACCGGGTGAAAACCTAGGTCCCGAGAAAAACACGAAACCTCCTTCTCTTCCCTTCCTTCTTCTTCTTCGTTCTTTTTTCTTCAATTAATCCTTATTTTCCATTTTTCATCTAGAAATTGTTCTTGCTTTTGGGATTAAGCTTGTAA